TAAATATATGATATACTAAATAATATGTTTATTTATTTTATTATTAAATCATAATAATGAAAAAATGTATCATTAATCAAATATTAATTTGATTATTAATTAGTAATGAAATAGATAACTAATACGTATTGAATTAATGCAATCATTATTTAATGTAATAATTACATAAATAATGTTTAATGAAATACTAATTATTCCAATATCGAAATAATAATACATAAAAAAAAAATAGAACTATATTTCATAATCAACAAAGAACATTTATGAATTAAATAATTAACCACCTGCTGTCAGGCTGTTGTAATTAAACGGACCCTCCGTTGCCGCTGGCGATCCCGAGCTCCGCTGTGCCGGACAAACTACAGTGTAGACAAGCTGCGGTGCGAAGTGGAAGGTTGCGATTGCTTCGCTTCGCCTGCGGTGTGTCACAGCCTTGAGAGGGAAAAGGAGGGAAGTCTGTCTTAAGGCCCCCCTTCCCTCATGAGAGTGACAGTGGCAGTTTCAAGTCCCCTCACTGTATCTGTGTAGTGTGAGGTAAAGTTTAGTAAGGTCATGTGACCTCAGGGCTTGTTGTTGAAGTCTCAGAGAAACAGGCCCACCAAATAAAGCCTGAAGGATGTCTGGGGAGCGTTTTACAGGCAGATGCAGTGAGCATCGCACTCCACACATAACAGTCTGTCAGACCATTTCGCCACCATGGTCCGCCGTCTATGATGCATTAATACCTGCTGCTAGTGTGTTTGCACACACACAGTGCTGATGCACCAATCTCGGGACAGCAGGCTTTTTTCAGCATGTGTCAGAGTGCCCACTTACATTGCTAGGCTCCATCAGAGTGCCCACTTACATTGCTAGGCTCCGTCAGAGTGCCCACTTACATTGCTAGGCTCCGTCAGAGTGCCCACTTACATTGCTAGGCTCCATCAGAGTGCCCACTTACATTGCTAGGCTCCATCAGAGTGCCCACTTACATTGCTAGGCTCCATCAGAGTGCCCACTTACATTGCTAGGCTCCATCAGAGTGCCCACTTACATTGCTAGGCTCCATCAGAGTGCCCACTTACATTGCTAGGCTCCATCAGAGTGCCCACTTACATTGCTAGGCTCCATCAGAGTGCCCACTTACATTGCTAGGCTCCATCAGAGTGCCCACTTACATTGCTAGGCTCCATCAGAGTGCCCCTTTAGAATGTTTAACCCCATCACTGCCTGGCACTGCGGCCGCCTCTGGTAGTCTGGTACATGCTGAGCAAATCGGAACATGTAAATCCGGCTTTTTAGCAATTTTCTTCATTGTAACGGTGAAATAACGGCTGCGCTTTGCTATAGCGGTGCTTTGTAACATTGTTATCGGGCGGTTTGGCAGATTAAACTACGATCCTTTCACAGCTGTTACGTGAGATAAGTTTTCTTTTCGCAGGTTATTAAACAGCCTCTGTGCAGCCGAGACAAACAAAGAGATCTGCTGAGTAAAGTTACCTCGTGATGAAGATAGTTTTATCACGGTTTATTAAACGTACACCTAAACCATCTCCCGCAGCGAAAGGGTTAAGGAACCCTTCTCATTTAGAGTCAGGGAGGCTTTTGCTGTCATATTACTAACTTCCTTTCTCTTCTGGTCTACAACAAAATGGCCGCCCCCCCCTGCACTGAAGACGCTTTCCCCTCTCAGCAGCAGAAGGTCTCCCTGGAGTGGTGGCTTCTCAGCCGATCTATTAGATTAGACCATGTCGTCACGTCCGACAGCTGGCGATCACGTGATTTAAGAAATGCACCTTACCGCGCATGCGTCGCTGGCCGATCAGCTCAGCCAATGTCGCCACTTCCGGTGACGAGTAGGCGGCTCCAAAAGAAAGCGCATGCGTCCTGCTCTCATACGCTGACGTCAGCTCTCCGTGGAACGCAAAACCCGGAAGAATGTCGGAAGTGAGTGTCCCTTGACCCGGAAGTGAACTCTCATTGATGGTTTTTCTTATGTGTTTTCCATGTGACAGAGAGGGGAGCCGTCGGACACTCAGTGCAGGTGATCATCATCATCATCCTCCACCTCTACACCCATCATCCTCCCCTCACAGACCTTCACTGCATTTCATTGTGTTCAGTTCCCATCACCTCCTGCACACCAGCTGCAAGTTCCAATCAGGCTGATATATCCCCATCCCTTATGTGAGCATGCCATGAGAGGCTCAGAGATTCCTCACCATATAGCAGCCCTGACAGTCTCATATTGCAGGCACATGACCCAATGTGAGATCTAGGTGGAGGGAGCCTGTGAGAAGAAGGGACCTATAGAGGTTCCCCCTTGAAGATGCCGGCCGCCTGGCTGTCATGGTTATCCCAAGGCTTCTGTAGTTGGAACGATGAGTAGGGGTGGCTTCACTCGCCGCATGCTTGTTCCCGGCTCCGTTATTATAGAAATACTGAACCTGCAGACAGCCGGGCACCGCGGCATCTTCAGCGCGAGGTCACCAAAGGCCGTCCTATGGTCGTCATTGTTTATGGATGACTTACTGTATTATGCAGGTCACTGCTGGAGCCCCGCCCCCGCCTGTGCGAAGACAAACCCACCCTGAGGATGGACGGCGATCGGAGTCCGGTGACCGAGGACATCATCAGCCTGACCCTGGAGATCGTCCACCTGCTGACCGGAGAGGTGAGGAGGATTCTGGTAGGTCACATGACCTGGCCGGAGGATTCTGGGAGGTCACATGACCTGACCGGAGGGGTGAGGAGGATTCTGGGAGGTCACATGACCTGGCCGGAGGGGTGAGGAGGATTCTGGGAGGTCACATGACCTGGCCGGAGAGGTGATAAGGATTCTGGGAGGTCACATGACCTGACAGGGGAGGTGAGAAGTATTCTGGGAGGTCACATGACTTGCCCGGAGGGGTGAGGAGGATTCTGGGAGGTCACATGACTTGCCCGGAGGGGTGAGGAGGATTCTGGGAGGTCACATGTCCTGGCCGGAGGGGTGAGGAGGATTCTGGGAGGTCACATGACTTGTCCGGGAGGGGTGAGAAGGATTCTGGGAGGTCACATGACTTGCCCGGAGGGGTGAGGAGGATTCTGGGAGGTCACATGACCTGACCGGAGGGGTGAGGAGGATTCTGGGAGGTCACATGACTTGCCCGGAGGAGTGAGGAGGATTCTAGGAGGTCACATGACCTGGCCGGAGGGGTGAGGAGGGTTCTGGGAGGTCACATGACATCACTCTTATGTAAGATGAGCTGTATCTTGTTTGGCCCATTCAGGATTACGGCGTGGTGAGGAAGTCCAGCGAGAGTGCCGCAGCCACCGGCAGCCGTCAGAACCTCCACCGAGCGCTCTGCTCACTGACCCGGGACATGGAAAACGACAAGAAGGTCCTCGAGGTCTCCAACAAGATCATCCACCTGCTGACGGGAGAGGTGAGCTGGTGCCGGGGATTCTGGGACATGATCCAGGAATAGACAAGGGGCGTGTCTGGGTGGTGACGGGAGAGGTGAGCGGTGCCGGGGATTCTGGGACATGATCCAGGAACAGACGAGGGGCGTGTCCTGGTGGTGACTGTATCATGGTGTCTGGATGGTGACCGGCCTTTTCTCCTCGCAGGTTTGGAAGTTCTTGGGTCACGCGGCTCTGATGACGGAGGGACACCAGACTGTCGCTGCTCTGGGTATGTGGTGATTGGTCGGTGTTGTTTTGGTGGGCGGAGACTTATCATCATACCGTGCATACTTTATGAAAAGGTCCTTCAGCATCCGATGACCTTGTAGCTTCTGAGAATGAACACAGTTCCCCCAAAGGACAATGGTCTTCTCAGGCGATGTAGACCTGGAGGTGGAGCCTGCTGGAGAAAGGTAACCAAATACCAACCTCATAGACACCATGGGGGAAGAGTCATGGGTGGACATTATCTACACTAGGTGGCGCTGAGGAGTTAAGGGATTCCTTTGCTCTTGGGCGCCATCTGGTGGCAGTAGTTCTGTGCCAACCGCATTCACCCAGCTGGGCGGAAGATCTCCAAATCAGCCTCCCGAGGTGTCTTCAAGTTTGGTCTTTGATTATGGTTCTCCAGCACGCCCAGGTCTACATCACCTGATGGTTCTCTGGGGGGACTTGAGGTCTTCTAGGACACCTCGAATCCCTACTCTCAGTTCTGGTGGCCTTACAAGGTCCTGGGTCAAAGGAGAGGAGGAGCTATGGGTCTTCCAGATACAAGGGGAGCGATTAGGACCCTTGATGGTCAATACATATTTACCACCCCAACATTCTCGTCTTCCAGATGCCTCCTCGTTTGGCCAACCCGAAGCCGCCACCAACGGAATTAAGGAAGAAGTCAGGTCAGGTCAAGAGAGGGGCCTCCTGATCCCGGAAGAGGACGTCATCGGGGAGGACGCCGTCTCTTGCGAAAGACTGCCCTTCGCCCATGGCGACCTTTGTACCACGTTGGCCGAAGACGCGTCATCTGGTGAGCAGGAGGAGATGGTGACGTCACAAGAGGAACACAATCCCGCCGCCGGCGATGCCTATACGCCCTCCAATCGCGAGCAACCCGCGTTTAACCACATTAAGGATGAACTGGTCGTCGGAGAAGAAGACAACCTTCGGCGTGCCGCTCGTAGGCCGCGACCAGCTACTCGTGTGAAGGAGGAACGTTCTTCTGAAGAACCTCGTCTACTGGCCGTAGACCTCTATCAACACCCTGATGTCCAATACGCGGCGCACGTCAAGGCCGAGACCCCCGTGTACGAAGAAGGCGGGGCCGCCGAGAGCGACCTTTACGCGCAGACGGACTATACCGTTCCCGATACAGACGAGGACAGCGGCCCCGAGATCGACACCGGGCAGAGACCGGAAGCTTCTTCCATATCGGCGCCTCAATACAACGGGATGGTTCACGGTCAGCCGTTCCCTCCCCAGATCACGGTCACCGTGGACGGAACTCACCAGTGCTCCCAGTGCCAGAAGCTGTTCACCAGGAACTCAGACCTGCTGAAGCACCAGAAAGTCCACCAACGATCGCAGCCCATTATATGCACCGAGTGTGGGAAGAGCTTCACCAAGAAGTCGCTATACGTCCGTCACCAGAGGATCCACACGGGCGAAAAACCGTTCTCCTGCGGCGACTGCGGGAAATGTTTCGCCGTCAGTGCTCACCTCACTACACATCAGAGGATTCACACCGGGGAAAAGCCGTTCGTGTGCGCCGACTGCGGGAAAAGCTTCAACCAGAAGGCGTCGCTTATAAAACACCGGCGGACTCACACCGGGGAGAAACCTTTCGTCTGTTCCGTGTGCGGGAAGTGTTTCACGAGTAGCGCCAATCTCACCCTGCACCAGCGGGTCCACACCGGGGAGAAGCCCTATTCGTGCTCGGTGTGCGGGAAGAGCTTTCGGAGCAGCCCCAATCTCATCTCCCACCAGAGGATCCACACAGGCGAAAAGCCTTACTCCTGCACGGTCTGCAACAAATTCTTTACCAACAGCTCCGTCCTGGTGCGGCACCAGAGGACGCACACGGGGGAGAAGCCGTATCTGTGTTCAGAGTGCGGGAAAGGCTTCACCCGGAACTCGCTGCTCATAAAACACCAGCTGATCCACCGAGGACAGAGGCCGTACGCTTGTACTTAACAACCCAAATGGTTTATTTTTCCAGCTGGTTCCATCGAAAATCTCTCCATAGGTTTCTAGAATCTGTAACACAGGGCTGAAATATATCTCAGGAGCCTAGGCACCTAACTTTTCTATGAGCCTTTCCCGCTCTGTTCCTGCAAATTGCAACTTCTTCCGCACCTTAAAAGTATCAAAATGAGACCTTCCCGTACAGGGCGAGAGTTTACCGATGCCGGTGTGGTCAGAAAGCGCCTATAGAAGCAACTGACCGTGAAAACCCGGCCTGGAGGTGCATCCGGATCCATCACCTCTGCATATAACAATGTCGTCTCCACGTGGCTCCGGAATTTAAAGTTCACTTGCAGGGAGCGGCTTTAGTAGCATGTCGGGAAGGGCGATGTAAAGTTCCCCACTTCAATATAATGTATAATAGAAGAATTGGGGTTTCCGTGCGGGAAATGTTCTTGGTAGAATACAAGGTTTGAGGGGCCCTCTGGATGCAGCTTTTGTAAAAAAAATTTCTTTTCATTTTACGTTTTCAGTGTTACTTGGCCATTAAAGGAGAACTATGAGGGGGGGAGGGGCTTTTCACTCACCTCATAGTTCTAGCCGACCTGTGACAATGAGACTGTCACAGGTCGGCTCAGTAGATCGGGAGGTGAGCGAACACATACCGGGTTCGCTTGCCTCTCGATCCTGTCACGGCTCTCTGCCGTGATAGGGGGAGGGGCTGGATTCCCCTCTCCGTTCTGCCAGCGCTGACCGGCGGAACGGGCGGGGGAGGGGGGCGGGTACAGCTGGCTCTGCCTCTAGATAGGCAGAGTCAGCTGTCACTCACGCAGGTGGGCGGATCCCGTCATCTACGTCGGGATGCGCTCCGGCTGCGGCGTCTCAGTATACCGCGAGCTGTAGCTCCCTATACACTGAGCTTAGGGTGACGGGAGGACGCTAGTTTGTGTCCTCCCCTTACCCCGAGGAGAACTATGGGGAAAAACACTGACCCCATAGTTCTCCTTTAAAGGGACCCTGTTGGCTTTTTAAAAGGTTCCCAGTGCCAGCTTCCTATAATGGGTATTATACTCCCTGTGTCCCCTACAAAGTGGAGTGAAGTATGGAAGTTCTCTTATCTGGTGGTCAGCCTTAAAATGGTGGGATTGGCTCCAAATGTAGCAGTTTAGACCTTTGTCCGGTCCGGGGTTGCAGGCACTGCTGACTCCAGAACCGATGATTTGATGGAACGTTTCATCAATGGGGCCAACAGAGCAGTGGTGGATCCTGTCCAGTATGGACATGAAGAGCCATAAATCTGCTAAGGTGTAATATGATTGGTCATTCCCTGAAGGCCCAATATCCAGTAGTAGGTAGGAAGCTCATATATGGAGACCACCTACAAGGTGGACATGACAATGTAACTGAATGGATGGAGATCCATGCCCAGCTTAGATAGTCCATCTCCACCATATTTGTAGGCCAGCAGGTCTAACGTTCTAGAAACTCTGGAACAAAACCATCGAGTCGGGGTTCAGAACCAAATCGCCTAGCGATGCTGTGACTAAAACCTGGTTGGAGGTCATCTACGAGTTTGTATTCCTCGTGTAGATAAGAGCGGCTTACCCGTCCCTACGGCTGACCAGTCCCAGAAGTCGTTGTGCTGGTCAACCCTTGGTACATCATGAAATCCATTCTTCTGACTGGGCCCCATCACCAGGTCCATGAACGTTGACGTATCCTGACTCGAAGCTCCTGCTAAGAACTCGGACCGCTTTGCTTAAAGTTCTTTTCATGGAATGTATTCTTGTCGGTTTGTATAGTTACGCAAATTTTTCTGTAATAAAATTAAGGTAAAGCAAAAAAAAAACTGAGCCGTTGGCTTTCCTCCTCGACAATATTCGGCGCATTCCGGTGAAGAACAAACCGACATTGGCCTCTATGGGCCGGTGTTGATGGGCTGAGGGTGTTGCGTTCCTGTACAGGTCTACTGGCGTGCCGAAGCGGCTTGAAGCAGGACAGAAGGCCAACTGCAGGTCAACTCAATCCTGAATGCTCTCAGAAGAACTCAAACTGATGCCATGAACACCAACCCAATGGCTGCGGTCACGGGGCCCAAAATCTGCTCGAGTTATGGACGGCCCAATTGTCACCTTGTTATGGAGTTTGACAGCCGGCTTGAGCGGTGGAGCGGAACCCACTGACAGGAAACGGGCCAAAGGAGATCCGAAAAACGAGGTACAAATCCAAAAGTCGGAGTCAAAGTCCAGTCCGGGTCAAGGCAGGCGGCTAGGTTCAAGAACGGGAAGGCGGGCCAAGAGGTCAGTAACCGAGAGTTCGGATGAGGGGGGGGTCAGGGAGCGGCAGCGGTATCCAACACATGAGGCTAGCCGATCGCACCATATCGGTAGAATAACTCAGCAACAAGCCAGGGCCCTGACTGGGGTTTATACCCAGTGGGAACCAGGATTGGCCACTGGTCGCCGAGACAACCAGAAGGCTTCTCCATCCAGGAGCCAATGGCATGAGGGAAAGGGCGGAAGGTGTGTGCTGGGAACCTCCCCCTGCAAGGCCCACACCCGACGACACTAATGGGCGCATGCGCATCCGCGACCCAGGAGTCCTGCCAAGCCGAAGGACACCCCCCCCCCCCCGCCCCCCCCCCCCGGGGAGCCACCGCACCC